GGCTGGAGCGCCGCGGGCACGGCTCCCACGGGCCGGCAGCTGGGATCCGGCTGTGGGCTCTGGAATCCGGGATGGGATCTGCCGGGGGATGGAGCTGCTGTGGGATCGGCTCCCTGCGGCGCCAGCCGGGGCCAGCCGGGCACGGGATCGGGCCCTGGGATCCAGGTTTGGGATTTGGGATGGCATCCAGACCCTGGAGCACAGCACGGGCTCCCTGCGGTGCCAGCCAGGCACGGCCACACTGGGATCGGGCCCTGGGATCCAGGTCTGGGATCTGGGATGACATCCAGACCCTGTGGCACAGCACGGGCTCCCTGTGGCACCAAGGCGGGGCCAGCCGGGCACGGCCATGCTGGGATCGGGCCCTGGGATCCCCTCTGGGATCCGGGTTTGGGATCTGGGATGGCATCCAGACCCTGGAGCACAGCAAGGGCTCCCTGTGGCACCAAGGCGGGGCCAGCCGGGCACGGCCACACTGGGATCGGGCCCTGGGATCCCCTCTGGGATCCGGGTTTGGGATCTGCCACCCCGGCTCGGGATCCGGGATCTGCTCTCCAGCCGCCCCACTTGGTGCTTGGGGTCAGGGTTTGGGATCTGGGATGGGATCGAGCCCCAGAACCACCTCGGGCACACCTGGATGAGGCCAGGCCAGCACGGCCACGGGCTGGGGTGGGATCTGGGATCCAGGATGGGATCCAGGACTGGGATCTGGGTCTGGGATCCAGGATGGGATCTGGGTCTGGGATCCAGGACAGATCTGGGTCTGGGATCCAGGACTGAGATCTGGGTCTGGGATTCAGGATCCAGGACTGAGACCTGGTCTGAGATCCAGGTCAGGGATCCAGGATCTGGGATGGGGTCTGAGATCTGCCCTCCTGCCACCCCACACTGTGCTTGGGATCTCAGTTTGGGATCCAGGACCCAGCTTTGGGATCTGGTCTGGGTCTGGGATCTGATCCGGGATCCAGCTTTGGGATCTGGTCTGGGTCTGGGATCTGATCCAGAATTCAGCTCTGGGATCCAGCTCTGGGATCTGTAATTCAGCTCTGGGATCTGATCCGGGTCTGGGATCCGGGATCCAGCTCTGGGATCTGGGATCCAGCTCTGGGATCTGGAATTCAGCTCTGGGATCCGATCCGGGTCTGGGATCCGGGATCCAGCTCTGGGATCCGGGATCCAGCTCTGGGATCCGATCTGGGTCTGGGATCCGGGATCCAGCTCTGGGATCCAGCTCAGGGATCCGGGATCCGACCCGGGTCCCTCCCGCCCCGCTCCCCCCGGCACCGGAACGCCCAAATCGGAGTTTCCCGTGACTCCCGGCGGGTTTTTA